GATTAAAAAAATAAACAAGTAGACCAGCTGCAATCTAAGTAGGAAACATAAGAATTTAGAGTATGTGTGATGGCTGGGTTTTGCTTTGGATTTCATCAGGAAAAGCAGCTCTCTAGTTTTCTGGCATTAAGAGTTCATTGCTTATATGAGAGGGTAAAATACATATAATAGATGAACGAAAGGAAGTTTGTTATTTTAGGGAAGAGGAAGGTGAATGAAGAATAAGTCAGTTCTTTTTCAAGCAGAGCACTTTCATTTTGTTCCATTTTTGTTTACCAGTGTTCCTGTGAAAACTGCTGTTGTGGGCACTTCAGCTGTGATGATTTGGCTCTTCTTTGTGGCTTGCCTCTTGTTCTTTACATCAGCACTGTGGTTATTACACCAGCTACCAAGAACATCTCACATGGCCTTTTACATATAAGCATTATCCAGATCAGGCAATGTTTCACATTCCCTAAAGATTTTAAACAAGAAGTTGCAAGCAGAATTTTGGAGCATGCATTTCTAAATTGCTCATACTTGTTTTTTGTTTTATTTTCATTGTTGTGGTTAGGGTTGAAATAATAGGAGGAAATTGCACATTTCTGTCCTTAAAGGTAATTCTTCAACCTGTGTCCTTAGGAAGGATCAGATCATTTTTTTCCAAGTAGATTTTGCTACTCAGATCTGTCCCTAGTAGGAAGAACAGACAGAGCTCTTCAGCATAGTCCCTAATGACGATCAGTGGACTAAACTATCGGAAGACCCCCTTCCTGAGGGCTCTGGATGCACAGAACTCAGCTCACGAAGGTGACTCTTTAGTAGACAGTCCTTTGATATTCTGTAATTTCATTTGTTTGGCATGGCCCCTCCTCTTATCGTTATATAAAGCTGATTTTCTTAAGTTAGTCTTTCTAATGGTTTGTTTTATTTTTCTGCTGGAAGAGAAAGAATGCATAGTAAATAACAATGCACCAAAGATCTGCGATGGTTGGTGGCAAGGATTAAAGAAAAATGCAGCAACAGATACATGATAGTTCCCAGTCATGTGGGTTTAGCTTCATTTTCTTTTGTTTGATGCCTCTTGTAGTAAAGAAAGAAGTCAAAGGCTGGGCTGTTTTCTTTTAAGTTCAGAGGAATATAATTTGGGGTGAGCTCTGTTCCCATAAACCATGGTGCCAAGACCTTTTTGAAGAATTTTGAAAAATGAAAGTATATTGCTTACTACTATTAGGAAATCTTTCAAATAAATAAATTTTTAAAAAGGCCAGATAATTCCTCTTTGATCTTCCCAACAGCATGGTATGGTTTGTGGCAGAGGGTCTGAAAATGTATTAGGTTTGTCTTCAGTTCTTACATTCTTGGTAATTGTCAGTTTTCCAAAACAGAGAATAAGGTTTTAATCTCATGTCTTTGGCTGATGTCAGTGGGGCTGAAGTTCCGAATCACCCACGCACAGTACTAAAACCATCGCTGTGAATTGAGTCCAGGACAACTTGGTAACAAGATGAGTGTTTTTCAAGTAGGTACTTCAGCATGTTAAGCAGACGTCCATGTGAACTATTTATCACTAAGTCTTGTGACCATAAAATAGAGCATATTAAACTTCCAGCTGGGTTGTGTGTTTCAGGACATGTCTCAGTTAATTGAAAAAGTAAATGTATGTCAAAAGTTCTTTCTAGAAGCACATTTTAAATGTTATTTCTGCTTTTATGATTCATCAAATTGGAATTGTCTTTTAGATCTCAAACACTGGCCTGAGAACTAGAATATTACTGGAGTCTGTTTAAAAGTGATAGTACCACTCCCTTGAAAATTGCCCTTGCTTAATTCTCTGTAGGGTGTTGGAACTGGCTGGGAGAAAAGGAACAGGAAGAACAGAACTTAGAAACAAGTTCTGTCCATTGTGTGCTAGTTGGTCACTTTCGCAGATCAGAATTAGTGGCAAGTTCTCAAGTGAATCTACCACCTTCTATGTTGCCCAATACGTGTCTAAAATACCAGGTATAAATCTAGATTTTTAATAAAACAAAAGGAGAAATGCACTTCTGTAATCGGAATCTTAGACAATAAAATCTAGGTGAAAATAGTTTATATCAGAAATATGATAAATTGATTTTTTTTTTTAAGGATAAGGATCTTTGAAGGATATCAGAGTGTGATACACTGGGTTTGTTTTTTTTTTATTTTGAAAAATATTAATACATATTAATACAAAGTATTGTGCATGGGTAATTTAACAAACACCTATGTACCCACCATTCAAAATGAAACATAGTAACATTCTGTCATTGCTTCAGATTATTTTTCATTTTTTAAGAAACCGTTACAGTTCAAGTTAAATTCCCCTGTGTTTCCCTGCCCCATTCCTTTTCCTTCCTCCCCAGGGACAAGCACTATCATGAATTCATTGTATTAGTAGTCAGTGTTTTATAATTTCATCTCATATATAAACGGGGGGGTGGGGCTTAGTTTAAATAAGTCCTGCCATACAGTACATCTCATTTTGTAATACGTTTTATTTTGGGGGTTCAGCGTGTTGAAACACATAGTTCTACTACTGATCATTGACTTTTAACTCTTATATGCTATTCCATTATATGAATATGTTAAATCTGTTCCACTGCTCAGTCATTTGTGTTATTTCCAACTTCTGTTACAAACAGTGCTGCAATAGACATCCTTATGTATGGGTTTGTGTCACTAGGCTATATACCAAGAAGCGCTAACTCATAGAGTGGGCATATTTTCAACTTTATTAAATGTTGTTGAATTACTCTCTCCAAAGTAGGTGTATCAATTTCTAGATCCCTTAGCAGATAATGAGAGTTCCTGCATCACTATTTCCTCAGCAGTACTTATAACTGGCAGAGTTTTATTTGGACCATTCTGGATATAAAATGGTATTTCTTTGTTGTTTTAGTTTGCATTTCTCTGATTTCTAGAGAGATTGAGCACTGTTTTGTGTTTTCAGTGAATTGCCTGTTCATAGTCTTCTCCAGTTGATTGTCTTGTTCTTACTATTTTATGAGGAGTTTTTAATATTTTAAAGATACTGTTACTGTGTGCTAGTGCCACATTTTATTTCATTTCTAAATATCTGCCTTTCCTTGTCCTTGCTATGGATTCATTAGTTTTAAACCTATGGTTTAAAGCAAGTTTTAATTTAAGTAGAATGGAGCGAATGAGAGGTTCTCCTAATAAATAGGCAAAACTCTGAGAGGGGAAGAGGGATGGGATTAAAGATGTATTTGAAATACTTGAGCTGAGCAACGGTTTGTGAAAGACAGAGAAAAAAGAGGGGGAGGGGAGCTGTGAGCCTGTGCACAGGAAAGAGATGATGGGTCAGCTGGCCCAGACCACAGCAGGGTGGCGGTCGCTGGCGGCTGTGTGGCAGGGAAGCAGAGACACCGCATACCCTGAGTGAGGGTGGTGCTGAGGACGGGCAGACACACATTTGCCTTACTAGAAAATGAAGCAAGGAAGTTTGCCTCGACTACTTTGCTATGCTTTTTGCTGTGGGTCCAGCTCACCCGCCTCTCTTAAAGATTCACAGACAGAAGGAACTTGGGGGGAAATGTGCTTCCTTTTTTCATTTTTATATGAGGAAACCGAGGCCTGTAGAGAAAGGATTTGTACTAGGGTCACACTAATTAGCAGAGTTAGGACCCAAGTCAAATTTAGTTTGACAGCTGTTCTTCTTCTTCTCCTTTTAATGTTAATAAGGTGATATTTCACATACTGTAATCAAGAGTGTGTGGAGACATTTGGCTTTTGGGTAAAACAGGCATAGGGTCTACAGATAGACGTTTCAGTGCGTGCCATGAGCCAGGCACTGTGCTGGAGAGATTTAATTGAAGATTCGTCAGTGGGTGACCCATCCCTGCTCCAGAGGAGCACCCAGTGGGGGAGAAAAACCTGAGATAACCTCAATGCACTGTGACGGGGGGTGTGAATCAAGTGGGCATTGAAGGAACGACTGTGACAAAGGAATGGAAAGGCCTTTGGGGTCTGGGGTCTTGGCAGGCTCCTTTCTGGTACCCACCCATCCCCGTCATCACTCCAGTCCTGTCCCCCCCTCCCCAACCCCCAGTCCATAGTGTCTGAGCTAGAAGAGATCTTGGTCCATAACTCGTGAGTCGACATAGGCCCTGCGGTGCTTCCTGAATCTGTCTGTGCAGCGTTGCCTAGTGCATGGCGTCTGTCGTCGATTTCCTGCGGGAGCCCTTCCTGGGAGAGTCTCTCCTCGTCGGTGCCCCCACAGACAAACCTTTTGTTTGTCTCTACTCCACCTCTGGCCCAGTTCTGTTTTATGGCATCATAGCAGTACTAAGAGCCAATGGTGACCCTTCTAAAGCGCAAAAGGGCTGGGTTTTTACATCAATGGCCCTTGTAGGCCAAGAGAGTAAGAAATAAAAGAATTGAGATAAAATCATGTCCTTGGCAAATTGTGGTTTCTGTGTTCTCTTTCCGGAAGTCTCTCATTTACTCTTGAGTCAGTGTTCCCAGAGGTGCTTGCGAGTGGTTCTGTGACCTTTCACGTGCGGCTCTTGTCTCAGAGAGCGGGTGGCACAAAGCTCAGGGTAGTTAAGATCTCAAGTAAAAGTACGTAAGCAGGTAGATTTTCACATTTCGTATTCTGCACTTTGATGCAGTCATACAAATTTTACAGCCCGTTAGGGGCTCTATTTATGTATTTATTTGTGACTAAAACTTACATATTGATGGCAGACACTTTCGCTTTTAGTTTTGGTAGCCTCTCAGCTTCCTGTCTGAGAAGTTCTAGACTTCTATTTTTTGTTAAATTCGAAATCACATCTGCTCTTGTTTCTGCCTCAAATAACATCACAGGCCTGCTTCCTAGAAGGGGACTGCAGTCTGTGATTTCAGTTAGAGTTGCATTCTTACATGTGAGTGACTTCACTCTGAAATTCATCTGCTGCTTGGAGCAGCAATGGAAAGTCAGAATCTAGGATCTATTTGCTCTGTCATGGTGACCTTGGGTCTTGCTTTCTTTTCAGATTGCAGTGCTTTTGTCCACAAAGGCTGCCGAGAAAGTCTGGCCTGCTGTGCAAAGGTCAGAATGAAGGTAAGACATTTCTGGCTAAAGGAAGGCTTAAAATTTTTAATAAAAGGGTTTAAACCAGTAAAATCCTCAGGAATTGGGAGCGTTGAGGTTGTGGTGGGTTTTGTTTTAATCATTTGGTACCAACCTTGAGACCAGAATAAGCAAAAAATAATTTTTCTCTAAAGTGATCAATCCTCCTTTTGATTAACACACTCGGGAATTTGCGACTTTTAAAAAAGAAAATGCTTTCAGGACCTGTATGTGTTAGATATACATTTCTTGGTGGCTTTAATATTTCTGTGTTGCCGCTGAAGTGGTTTTCTTATTAACCACTTCTGCAGACTTGCTCTGCTGTTCACACCCCTCCTCAGACCATGACGGCAGCAGGTGTTAATCAGAGGCTTCGATCTGCCTGTGGGGGTGGGGGAGTTATTATGGTTAGCCCCAGCCCATCTGGTAGCACTTTTCTCCACAGGTACATATACTAGATATCTCTGATCACAGGATAAAAAAGAATAAGAAGTGCCATTGTCTGGTGGTACCTACTCTGAGCATGCGTGCTATGTAGTAATGCCTTTGCAGTGGTGCATAGAAAAGGATTATAGGTTTAGGGGCATACCTTCTAGGTAGCCAGTATGGGCTTCAGTGTTCTAGTCACCCATAAATGTCTTTTTGCTCCTTGTCAGAAGAGTATTCTCCATCCATATCTACATATCCACATTGCTTCATTGATAACCAAACACGTTTATCTAGTGTGATGGCCTCAATCTGGAATGTGCATCAGAATCATTTCAAGGGCTTATTAAAAGACAACTTACTGGGCCCCAGTCCCAGAGTTTCAGATTTGGGGATGGAGTCCAGGAATTTGCATTTCTAGTAAGTTCCCAGATGATGCTGATGGTCCTGGGACTTCACTGTGAGAAGCACTGAACTAGTGTAAAGATGGCAGACTTCTGTACCCCAGGTCTTATTCAGCCCATGGACGTGTATTTTGTTTGGCTCATGTAGTATTTGTTTAATTTGAGTTAATGCATTTATTTAAAAGTTACATTTCATAGTAGTTTGTATGCTTATTTCTCCTGAAAAATTTCAAGTTCTCACAACCCCAGGCCCACTGGTGTTTCCCCTCACCCAACACTCCAAGTTGTCCTGAGCCTGCCCTGTTTCCTTTTTTCCATAGTACTTACCCCCTTCTCAGAGTCTGTATTTAACCATCTTTATTTATTATACATTTTTATATATTATGGTCTCTACCTTCCCCCTCCTAGAATATAAGCTCCAAACTTGCCAACCATTCTGAAGGCAGGAATCTTTGATCCGTAATAGAGCCTGAGCACCTAGAATGGTGTCTGGCTTATAGATCTTAAATGTGGGAGGGGATGGATGGCAAACAATAGTCACCTGGAGCTGAGTGGCTGCTCCGTCCTTTAGACAGGATAAGTTCCAGACTGCCACTGCATGCCCCCTCCTCACTCCTGCCCCATCTTGCTTCTGTCGTTTGCTCCCTGCTCAACACCATAGTCGTTGGACTTTGTGATCTCTGGTAAGACTTACTGCTGTTGTGAATGTACTAGGTTCTATAGAACAGTAACGATACAGATCTAGCATCTCCATTGTAAGAGAATATAACCTAAAGGGGGGAGTTCTGTTTTAAATTGGAAATAACCTATTTCCTCTAATGGTTTATCTCATTAATTGCTTCAGTCTATAATTTCTCAAAGTGTTACATGCTACAACTAAAGTCTTAACCCAAATGAGCATTTTGCCTAAGAATTTAGCACCTTATAATGCGAGTCGCTGGAGAAATAGAAATGAAAAGGGCACAGATGCTGCTCTTAGGGAAGCAGCTGTCTAGTGGGAAAGATGGACAGGCAGTTTCCATAAATGAGGAAACAGGGGTGCCAGGCAGGGCCCTGGGTGAGGAGAGGAAAGAAGCTAGTGGATGTCTTTCCCAAGGAGGCACGATACTTAAATAGTCGTGAGGAGGAACAGTGCCATGCCTGTGAAGGTAAGAAAGGCATCCTGGGCAGAAGAAAGAGCATCTGCGACATGGGGGAGGGCTGGGAGGGCCAGGGGCCGGCAGGTGGGGCAGCCCTCACTGGGATGCGGGGTGCCAGGGCCGTGCAGAAGCAGCAGGAAAGGAGGCTGAGCCTCTCCCTTCTACTCCAGGCTTCTGAAAGCTTGACAGGGGGAGCTGTTGGTGCAGCTTCATGAATTTCTTTCTTTTTCCTTAGCAGCCCAAAGGTAGCCTGCAGGCACATGACACATCATCACTGCCCACCGTCATTATGAGGAACAAGCGTGAGTAACACAACCTACCTCCCAGAATTCCCTTTCTGACTTTCTAGTTCTGGACTTAAAAATACTGTTGTAATGTTCATTTATTATTCATAATCAAGATTTGAATATCTATCTTGTGAGTTAAAAAAGACTGCTGTTTTATACTGCAGATTCCTTGACCAATAGCTTGACATTATACCGTCAAACCCTCTTTGAAGGTTTCTAGAGCAGCATGTGTATTCATTTAAAGGTAACACCTTTGCCCTGTGGGTTTCAGCAAGTGAGCCCTGTGCATCTCAATTTCCTCTCCAGTAATAGTGGAGAATTAGAGTACTTGCTTTTAGTGCTTCACAGTTGTGTGAATCAAATGAGATCTTGCTTGTTAGACTTCTTTGTTTTTTTTTTTTTTTTTTTTGAGACAGAGTCTCACTCTCTTGCCTGGCTAGAGTGCCGTGGCATCAGCTTAGCTCATAGCAACCTCAAACTCCTGGGCTCAAGCAATCCTCCTGCCTCAGCCTCCCGGGTAGCTGTGACTACAGGCATGCGCCACCATGCCTGGCTAACTTTTTCTATTTTTAGTTGTTTGGCCAATTTCTTTCTGTTTTTAGTAGAGATGGGGTCTCTGTCTTGCTCAGGCTAGTAGACTTCCTTATAAGCTGTGAAGCTATAGAAATGCTTCATTTTTTCCCCAGGGACCTCAAGTGGTATGCAAAACTAAGTAAATCGCAGTCTCCCAGTCACGTCAAACTATTTTCACCAGTGTGTACAAGACTCCACTTCGGTTTTACTTAATATTTTTCCCTTTTCATTCTCCATTCCCACTGTAATATATTTAATGTATGTCCTAATCTGCTGTATAGGTAGACATACATATATCTTTGAAAAAACTCTGTCATTATTTTGTGTTGAATTTAAATTAGATGAGTGGCCCCTAACCTTTTTGGCACCAGGGACCGGTTTCATGGAAGACAATTTTTCCACAGACCAAGGGGGTGGGGGTGGTATGGGTGGGAGGGAGGTGGAGTGGGGCTCGGGAGGTGATACGCAGCCTGTTTCCTAACAGGCCTGGCGCTGGGGACCACAGAATTAGATAATATGATTTAATGCTTATATATTCTTTTTTTGTTGTTGCTCAATATTGTTTTGAGATCTATGCATGTTGTTGTAAGCTATTGCTCCAGACTGCTATATGATACTCTTAGAAAGCATATATCACATTTTAATTATCCAGTTCCACCAAAGATAGAATATTTAAATTGCTTTCAATTACTACCATAATAATGCAGTAATAAATATCTGCAGTGTTTTTCAAAGTGTGGTTCCCGGACCAATTAGAAGTATGCATTCTTGGGCCCTACCCAGGTCTGTGAATCAGAAACTCGGGGGTGGAGCCCAGCGGTCTGTGCTTTAATAGATCTCCAGGTGATTCTGATACCCAGGCAAGCTTGAGAACCGCTGCTTTATGCCTGATTTCTCTAATTACTTCCAGACAGCTCCAGAATGGCTATGCCTGTCTATACTCCCACAGAAGATTTTGAATTCCCTTTAGACATATTAAATCCGGTTATTATCCGTCTTTGCATGTAAGACAACTAGAAGAGGAGCTTCGACACCCACCCAGACTGACACCCACTTCAAGCTGTGGTCCCACCCTTTGCACACAGCTTTTACAAGTCTGATCTTCCTCAAACTCTTTTACTGTGACATCCTTGTTTTTTTCTGTGACATTATTCCTTGTTTCAGAAGTCTGTTTTCTTTAACATCAGATAAAATAATGCATCTTTTTTTAAAATACCTGTTATGTGCCAGGTTCTTTATTTTATTAACTCTGGCCCTCCACAGATATTCTTACTACTCACCCCACTGAGGCAAGGTAGTGGTTAGGAGCACAGATTCGGAATTCAGATTGTATGGATTTGAGTCCCAGCACCACCGCTTAGTAGCTGTGGAACCTTGGACATTGCTAAACCTCTCTGTGCCTCATTTCCTTCTCTGTAACGGGGGATGATAATAGTATCATGGGGTAGTAGTCAGGTTTAAATTAAATCATACCTATAAAGTACTTAATAGTAGGCACTCTTCAGGTGTTAGCTTTCACTGCTAATCATCATCACCACAAATAAGGAAACTGAGGTTCAAAACTATCAAGTAGCGTTGAGGCTGTATGATAGTAAGTAACTTTTACTCAGGTGGAATATGGATTGGTATCAAACAAGGAAAAGCTGCTATTTTCATCCCCCTATGTTACATTTTAGATATAGGTTATTTACAACTTTTAGGACTCTGCATAACATGAGTTCATTCTGCTTCTCCAACCTTTTCACTGATCCCTTATATATATCCACTATTTGCTTCCTCCTTTATTTTTGTCTCCTTTTTACATTAATGCTACGTAATTACTTGGCCTTCATTCTTACAGTTCTTCTCATCAGAACTATCCTCTCTTTTCCTTCTTACCTGTCCGCATCCGTGCCATTCTTCAAGAGCTAGTGTTTCTGACTCCATCACATTTTATCTGCCCAGTGACTTCCCTTCTGAAACACTTATGAAGTGCTCCAGCCTCTTCAGCACGTAGGCGTGTTCTCTCTCCTCCCAGTTGCGCTTACTCCGTGGGAACAGGGCCCACATCCCATACTCCTGTGTACTTCCTGCAGCAAGGCTCTGGGCTTGTTGTAGAGTATCATGTGTCTGTGTTTTATTGTGTCGCCTTCTTCTAAATAGGATTTGAATTGGAAATGAATGATTATGTTAATGTTATTAAGTCAGGAACATCCTGAAATACTGTGAAGTCATAACAGCCGCCCCAATCTTATTTCCTTCAGCTCTTGACACTCCTGGGGATGGACAGATAATGCAACTTGTGTCTGGAGCCAGGAGCTCAGTTACCAAGGAAAAATAATTTTTTGCCCAAGGCCAGTATGACTACTTTAGCAAATTAGATCTCCATTTTCCTCTTCGGTCATGTTAAGGGTAAATATACAGCCTGAGAACAAATTACATTGGAGCCTTGAACAATGTGGGGATTGGGGTTGCCAGCCCCTTGTGCAGTCAAAAAATCTGTATGTAACTTTTGACTCCCCCAAAACTTAACCACTGGTAATAGCCTACTGTTGACCTTACTGATAACAAACAATCAGTTGATACATATTTTGTATGTTAAATGTATTGCGTACTACATTCTTAAATTAAGCTAGAAAAAAGAAAATGTTATCTTAAAAAATCATGAGGAAGAGAAAATATATTTATTATTCATGGAGTGGAAGTAGATCATCATAAAAGTCTTCATCCTCATCTTCACATCGAGTAGGCTGAGGAGGAAGAGGAGGGCTTGGGCTTACTGTCTCAGGGGTGGCAGAGGCAGAAGAAAATCCACATGTAAGTGGACTCTGCAGGTCACACCCGTGTTGTTCTAGGGTCAGCTGTTGTTAGGTGACATTAAACAAGGGGTACGTTTTCCTCATCTGCACATTAAAGGAATTGATCAAAATCTATACTCTCAAACAATGAACAGAAAAATCACTTGGGCCTGGAACATATGTAGACTTCCAGGTCCCACCCCCAGAGGCTAAGGAGGGCTGGGAATTTATATCTAACAAGCATTTCAGATGTTTTGTGGTGGGTGTTCCCAGAGAACATTGGTCCAGTGACCTCTAAGGTTCCTTTTACCCTTAAAATTCTTTCAATCTTATTTTTAGTTTCAATTTTAAAATATATAATACTTTCACATGATTCTTTATCCCCATTGCTTCGTTTCCATCCCACCCCACAGGTAGGCACTTTTCTTAGTTTTTTATTTATTTTCCTAGAGTTCCCTTATTAAAGTAAAGCAAATACCAACCTGGATTATTAATTTTTTTTTCTTTCAAGCATGAAAGAGAGCCTGCTGTGGACTTTGTTCTGTACCTTGATTGTCCCCCACCCCCAGTATAGTATTCTTTTGTGTGACCATAACTTACTAACCAGTCTTCTTTCAGTACTCATCTGTGTCATTTCCAATCTTTTGCTTTTACCAACAATGTTGCATTGAATAACTTTGGACATACATCATTTCAAAAATATACACGTATATCTTGTAGAATAAATATAGTTTAACAGTGAAATTACCAGATCAAAGATTATAGGCATTTACAATTTCAGCAGTTATTGCTGAACTACCCTCCAAGAGTTTTTGTACCAATTTGCACTCTCAAAGCAAATCTGTTTTAAAGCACCTTGCTTCTGTTTGGCATTTGTCAGATGAGTCAGCACTACGCGGGCATGGACCAGTGGTGGTTTAATTAGTGTCCTCTCTTCCTTTGCAGCCTCGCAGCCCAAGGAGCGCCCTCGATCTGCAGTCCTCCTGGCAGATGAAACCACCACCACCCCAATGTTTGCTAACAGGCGGTCCCAGCAGAGCGTCTCGCTCTCCAAAAGTGTCTCCATACAGAACATTACTGGGTAAGCGGAGGTTGAAAAATAGCACAGTTGACATCTAGGTGACAAGAGCA